ACAGACATGTTTTTTATTTAACAGTACGGGGAAAGTCTGTTTAATTATTAAATAATTGAGATTTTATTTTACTTTTTTTGTTTGTTTTTTTAGAAGTTTTATTGGGGAACAGTGTGTTTTTCCAGGACCCATCAGTTCCAAGTCAAGTAGTTGTCTTCAATCTAGTTTTGGAGGGCGCAGCTCCTTGGCCCGTGTAGGAATCGAACCAGCAACCTTGGTGTTACGAGACTGCACTCTAACCACCTGAGCTAACCGGCTGCCCTAATTGAGATTTTAGAATTCTTTGAACCTCAGTTGTTTTAATTAGTCTACAATATTATCACAATAGTTTTTAACTAATCTACTGAAGCTAATTGTATATTTCTTCAGATCTTAAATTCCATAGTGTATGCTATTTATGTTAAATGTATTCTTAGAAATCAAAGATCATAAACCCAGTTTATAAGGTCATGTATTTTTAGCAAAGTAATAGAAATATGATATCTTTTCCAACTTAGGGTTAATTACCAGTTATTAAACACTTGAAGTATACCCCAATTTGTTATCTTTTTGTCTTCTGACATTTTCCATTATATATAAATACATTCAAAACCATGTTGCCTATGAAATGGCTCAATAATTCTTGATTTATTGTTGCCCTTTGTGAAGACTGTTAAGGGCAATACAAAAAAATAACTCATGTTGCTTTATGTAAAATAGACTACTTTAGATCTCAATTTGTGTATTTGCTGATCCTAAAAATTAACTGTATTAAAATATTTATCATAATTCTTGCCCTTATTTGTGAATATTAAGAACAGAGTGCTTAATGAACGTTTATTAAGAGAGAGAGATGCCATAACAGTTCAGAGCAGTAGTACATATCCAATTCAGTGTTGGTTTGTTGATGAACTAGGTAATAAGCTTAGGTTAGTAATGTAGCTAGCTAGCTCAAGTCTCCTTATGTGTCTCTTAATTATTTAGAATAGATTGATTATTCATTAATGTAATTCCTTTTTTATGTTTTTAAAAACCATTTTTAATATAGCATCACTTAATATGTAACAAGCCCCAACAGAATATTTGTTTGGAAACTACCACCTCTCTCTCTTATAGCCTTACTGTAAATATCTCAGGATTTTACAAACAAAATTAGGAGCATATTTTTCATCATAAAATTACTTTTTTTCTTAATATATATATAAAAAATTAAGAACACTTTTTTTTCATCAGATGGTCTGAGATTAGGGATTTTGACTTTATAACATTAGATATTTAGTTATTTCCAAACTGCTGGCAAAGATGTTAGTACTAATTGATGATCAGATCTTAATATGATGCAGTATATTATGGTCTTAAACTCTGACTTAAGGTTTTACTTTATTTTTAGGAGCTTTAGAGGGAACTCTTGAACTGTTTCCACTGTAACATTTTCTGGTTCCATGAACCAAAGAAATAGTAAAGCCATAGTAAAGGTAACCTTAATTCACTATTACCAGGAATTGTTGTCAAATACAATTGTAAATGAAGCCAATTTTATCCAAAGCTAAATGAAAATTAAGCAGAATTATAATGTTTATTTACTAGACAGGAGAAAACATAATATGGATTTTTTCATAGCTATCTTTTTAAGATATTAACAGCCGTCGTGTTTTCACATTTAGGTATCCTCAGTCTGTTGGAGCATGGAGAAGAGTATACATTTTCTCTACCTTGTGCATATGCCCGGTCAATTTTAACTGTTCCTTGGGTGGAACTGGGTGGCAAAGTCAGTGTCAACTGTGCAAAAACTGGGTATTCGGCCAGCATCACTTTTCATACTAAGCCATTTTATGGTGGCAAACTTCACCGGTAAGAATATTTTAATGATACCTAACTCTTCCTCTTATCAGTGTGATCTATTATAAATCCTTATTCTTTTTCTATTTTATGTGAAATGGGGTTGGATTTTTATTCATGTTTATCTTTTGTTTAATATATTTTATCTTTCAAAGCATTCTGGAAATCATGACCTGCTTTTAAAAACAATGACAGGTCTCTTTACTCATAAAACTTACCTGGTTAAATAGATAACGAGATGTAGAATAGAATTCATAACAAATGAATATGCAGCATCTGGCCCAATTTCTGCCTTTAAAGGGATTCAGACTTGGATCCAAGGCTCCATGGAGGCAGCTCTTGTTACAAGTTAGGGTGAAAATACATGTAGTGATAAGAAATAGTTCAACAAGTACAATGATGGGAGCCAGTGTCTTTAGACACCAATATTGAATGGTGGCTTTGTTCTAAATTCCATCCAGGAATTTGCCAGTTATTATACTTCTTTTGTGACTTGTTGTCTCTTCAGCACTTATGCAGGTCACCCAAAATACTTTCTAATAGGATCCTCAATAGGTTACTGACTCTTTCTTTAAACTTTTGATGTCTGTTCTGACAGTCCCTAAAAGTAGGGATAGTTTTCTTTTCTACAACATTTTTGTTGAAGAATAACACACAAAAGCACACAAGTTGATTTGACTTTGTGAAAATCCGAGCACTTTGATTTAGACATGGAACATTACTGGCATCCCAGAGGCCTTCCTCATGCAAACACACACAAACACTCTCTCTCTCTCTCTCTCTCTCTCTCTCTCTCTCTCTCTCTCTCTCTCTCT